AGTACACAATTAATATTTTATTTGCCTGACAGTTGAATACTTGAACTTGCCGGGGACTTTGTGGTTCACTTGTTTACTTTTGTTGTCTTGGTTGTACCTCTACAAACATTTGAAATCTTTGCTGCCCTGCCAAAGGAATTTTTGATGTGATAGTAGTCACTGCTTTTAGTTATATATTTTATAATAAGTTACAAGACAAGCTAACTTGCATTGTTTTGTCAAGGCAGATAAAGCATGTTTGCTGAGAGTAAAATGTTTACATTTAGATCTTATTCATCAATATTATTTTATAACAAAACATATTCTCAACCAATCCATGTTTGGACAGTTAAATGTTTACATTATGTTACTCTATTTTTTAATGTTAATAAACTATATGACTATTAAGTTCAACTATTGAACCTTCTTGATTCTTCAGGCATCATTATCATATACTCTTCAAACTAGCAGCACTATTAAATTATATATCGTAAAAAATATCGACATATCAATATAGAAAAAAATATTGTGATGATCTATTTTTTCCATATCGCCCAGCCATATTTTATAGTATTTGGTTGAAAGCAGCATGGATAAGGAGTTGGGCTCCGGTTTGTTTTTTCCTCTTACATCTGGGTAATGTAAGTTTAAAGTGCATTAACATGTCGGATGTTTCCATTCACATAACGTTACCCTACAACAGTGCCGAACTGCACTGACATGATCCTCATACACAACTGTCTCTCTGTTGCTGTTGTAACATTCACTGACCAGTAATCTGCTAGGATGCCGGCGCTCGTGCACCGCGAACACTCCACAGTCCTGAGCGTGAAGCTGAACACCGGCGTACAACAGTAATAAGTGTTTAATTATGACGTTACGGCATCTATTTAATCCGATGAAAGGACAAGAACAAATTTAAGACTTTGGTAAACGAAAGTTCAGCAGTAATGTCCTAACGTGTTCAGACAGTAGCGGACTTGCCCTACTCTGCCTCTGATTGGCTGTTGTGTTGAGACATAAGGAGTGACGATTGGTTAGGCACAGCCAGATATAAAGTAGCAAAGTTCATGGTAGTGTGGACTCCTGCCTGACAGATGCTCTCTGTGTCAGATTTGAATCTCCTCCTTGATTTTTCTCCAGCTGTTGATTCGTGGATGGATTTTGGATGGGTGCTGACAATCCTCAAACTTTAAACCAGGACAGACTCCGCTAACTCAACAGGAAGGACCAGAAACATCCCAGTGGGACTCCCTTACATGGCTGGACTGTCAGAACATACAGAGTCTTTAAGAAACAACCCATCCAACACCTTCAGATCTCTGCTGGTTCACCCTAAAGACAGGACCCCCTGAGAGGAAAACTGAAGAGGTGTTTGGCATCACATCTGACAGAAAGGGAACGGTCTGCCTGTGAACACCACACCTGAACCACTCACAGCATCGACTGGGAAGAGGTCAGAGGTCATGGAGCAGGAGCCAGCGGACGGCTGGAGAAAGATCAAGGAGGACGTTCACATCTGACACCAGAGAGCATCTTTGAACAGAGACAGAAGCCACGTACGTTAAGAATTAATCGTAAATGTCCATTTAAAAGGAAAAATAGTAACCATGTTGTGGATCCAGCTTCTCAGTTATGAAGATTTGCTTCTTTTCTTTTTCATATGTGAAAATAAACATTTTTAAAGGTTTGAAGTTTTGGTCGGACAAAACAAGCCATGTGATGCATCACCTTGAACTTCTGTCCACACTGACGGGCATGTCTATAACCTTTTATTTACAAAGCAATAAATTGAGAAAATACATGGCAGATTAATGGACAGTGAGAAAATATTTTTCGTTGCAGCACTGGTTGAATACAGCTAGCAATCTTACAAGAATTAAAATTAATTTTTGGTAAATAAAAACATGAATAAAACTGCTTTAGCCTTGAGAAGCTGCAGAGCTGCAGTCTATTCACCAGTCGCTGTTACTTACACCAGGGGTTTTCAAACTGTGAGCCTCCCCTCAGGTAAAGCTTGGGAAACTCCACTGCGAAGATTCGACTGAGTTGAAACAGATTCCTCCCATCAAAGCATTGAATCTTAGACTACTCAGCACCACTCCTTCAGTTTGTGGAGAAGATCAGAATATAGCAACATAGCTATCAGGACACAAGGAGGAGGCAGAAGTAAACAGCTGGCTTGGCTAAAAACATTTTTCAAAACTAAGCAGTGTGAATGCGTTGGTGGACTTTAAGGTTACTAATACGAGCAAACATTTTCCCACACTGGTCACACCCGTACCGTTTCTCTCCAGTGTGAACGCGTGTGTGAATGTCTAGGTTACCTGATGTGGTGAAAGCTTTCCCACATTGGTCACACCAGTAAGGTTTCTCTCCGGTGTGAACCCGTCTGTGCTTATCTAGGGAACTTGATTGACTAAAAGCTTTCCCACACTGGTCACACCAGTATGGTTTCTCTCCAGTGTGAATACGTTGGTGGATTTTTAGGTGACCTGATCTTCTAAAAGCTTTCCTACATTGATCACAGCTGTACGGTCTCTGTCCAGTGTGAACACGCTGGTGATCTTTTAGCTGACTAGATGTACTGAACATTTTCACACATTGGTCACAACTGTGCGGTTTCTCTCCAGTGTGAACCTGTTGGTGCCTTTTTAGTTTATATGATGTATTGAAAGCATTTCCACATAGTTCACAACAGAAAGGTTTCAAGCCAGTGTGAACACGATGGTGGACTTTAAGGTTATAAGATGTACGGAAAGCTTTCCCACACTGGTCGCAGCTGTACAGTTGATTTCCAGTGTGAATGCGTTGGTGCGTATTCAGGCTCCCTGATTGAGTGAAAGCTTTCCCACACTGGTCACAGCTGTACGGTTTCTCTCCAGTGTGAACTCTCTGATGAATCTTTAGATATCCAGATTTTTTGAAGGATTTGTCACAGTGCTGACATTGGTGACGTTTGGGTCCTTCTCTTCCTCTCCGTTTCTATATCAACAGACAAAAGTACAGAAAGAAAAACAGAAATGAGATGTCACGGTGGAGCGTGATTTCTAGAACCATAAATCAAATTTCATGTCTGTGGAACCCAAGCCACAATTGGGGCTGAATGTCACAGTGCTGACATTGGTGACGTTTGGGTCCTTCTCTTCCTCTCCGTTTCTATATCAACAGACAAAAGTACAGAAAGAAAAACAGAAATGAGATGTCACGGTGGAGCGTGATTTCTAGAACCATAAATCAAATTTCATGTCTGTGGAACCCAAGCCACAATTGGGGCTGAAACTGTTCAAGAAACTCGAGTAACTCGATTACAAAAGTTTAGTTTATTCCATATAACATTACATTTATTCATTTAGCTGACGCTTTCATCCAGAGGTCACTAGGGGTTAAGTGTCTTTCTCAGGGACGCAATGGTGGATGGGTCACAGTGGGCGATTGAATCCGGGTCTCTCACACCAAAGGCATGCGTCTTAACCATTGCGCCACCCCACCATCTAGAGTGTGCTGTTTCACATTGGACGACTATTACTGTTGCACAATGCGCTTACGCTGTGGATAATAGGACGCAATATGATGTGATTGAAAAATGTAGGAAGAGAGAGAAGGTAGTGAGGGACGAAGAGACAGGCCAGAGAAAAAGAGAGTGTCCGAAGTATGGATTGATTCATACAAAAAACAAAACTCTGTACAGTGTTTTTGTTGTAAAACAGAATTAGCCTTACACAACAACGCTTGAACAAATCTAAGCAGAAGGCATCAGAAACATTCCTGAATTGTAAACGTATTTAGTCGTTTGTTGTTATTGTTTTCTGACTGACAGACTAATTGATTACCAAGCTGATCCTTGTACTGAGGGGTGGCAAGCAAATGTAGTTTCTTATCAAATAAGTCAAATAGATGGAATAATCAGTAGAATACTCAGTTACTAAAATAATCATTAGCTGCAGCTGTACCCACAGTGCTAAAGTCTGACTGGAAGGAATCTGATTTGCTTTTACTGGTTAAACAAAAAGGATCTCTCTCTCCCTCTCTCTCTCTCTAATACGCAAGGCAGGTTTTTAAATAACACCACTGAGGTCAATCAAAGTGCTTTACAGAAGTGATTTTGTAAATACAAAAGCTACTTTAGAAAGAATAAAGAAATTAAATAAATGAGAATCAACAATTAACAGAGAAAAGATATTAAAACCAAGATTAAAACGATGGCCATGTGTTTGGCAAAGTAACCGTGTTTCCATCAACGTTTTTTCATGCGTGAAGTATCGCCTTAGAAAAGCTTGATGGAAATACGCTCGCTTCAGGTGGTTTTTGCTTTTGTCGAAAAACAGCCGATGTGCTAAATGGGAGATGGCACCACTTTTGCCGCATAACTTCTGACATAGCGAACTTGTAACTCACTTCTGATCAGCTGTTTCCGCTGTCGGTGTCTCGCCGGATATTCCCGTAACGTGCTGAGACATGGCTGGTATTTGGCCGCTTGAAACACATTTCTGAGGACCTCTCTCCATTTTTTTAAGATCCATGGCCATCAGGTTCACGTAGTTGGCTTTGTTTCTGGTTTGGAACCCACAGGTCTTGTTTATTACAGCCATGTGTAACGTCAACTACTGACGTAACTACGCTTGACTTAGCCTTGTTTGTTCGCTCCAAACCAGCTGATGGAAACGCACATTTTTTGCATTTACTTTTATTTTCTTTTTTGCGACATTTCACATATCCGCTTAAAATTCGCATGACATTTAGATGGTAACATGGCTAATGTTTTACATATGTGAAGAAACAAGTACAAAATTCAAAGATACTTTGGGGAGGAGAACAGGAGAAGACTTTAAAACACAATGTTGGTAAGATGATTCGTATAAAATATTCAACTCCACGTTACCCGCGGTGGTGGGTGCTACTTTATTTCCTGTGTGACACTAAAGTTTCTGTAGTGTCAGCTTCTGTCAAGCTTAAGGCCATTGTACAAAAACAAGTCAAGGTACAGGTTTTATCACATTGCGATAATATCACAAATGCAATTAATCGTTCAGCCCTACAGACCATCATGATTTATTTAGACTGCAGGGGATGCTGGTGGTACAAACGGGAGGTGAAGTGGTCGCTGGGGACAAGAAGAGTAATCAGTGACCGGTGTATAATCCGGAGGTGTAGTGAGAAGACATTGTGAACATCTGGGTGTTGGCTGAGCAGTGACGGATCTGCTGCATAACATCTACAATTTAAGCAACAGTTAGGCAATGGTGTTGGCAGTAACGCATTACTGTATTATTAATTTATCCTAGTAACTAGTAATGTAAGGGAGTACCATTTCCAAGACAGTAATAATAATAATACTTTAATTAATCCAAGTAATGGGGTTGTACCGCGTTGCCAGAAGGTGATTTGTTTTGTGTCCAGGTACTTATACTCGTCAACAATGTCTACAGGTTTCCCATGGATGGTGGTGATGCCTGCGACAGCCAGTTTCTTCTGCTTGTTGGAAAAGGTCATCTTCTTAGTCTTGTTCACATTAAATTCCAGGCAGGAATTATCACACTATTCTACGAACTCATGAAGAGCTGAGTTGTGTTGCTGTAGGGGGGCCTGAAACAAAGATAGGACAGAAAAGTGTCATCAGCAAACTTGACCACATGATAGCTTGGCTGGACGGACCGGCAGTTAAGGGTGAGAGGACACAGCCTTGCAGGGAACCAGTTCATGTTTACAGACGATAGACTAGGGCAGGGTTCCCCAAACTACAGTCCGCCCCCACATTTGGACCGACTCCTCTGAACATTGGCAGAGACAAATTGTTTAATTTAAAAATGATATTATATATATATATATTTTAATCATCTGTATTTGATAATAAAAGCTTGGCTTTCAAACTAAAATCCCCATAGTTATTAACTATTAAAACTTCCCTTAGTTGTTTAATTGTTTGAATGGTACATTCAACATAACATCCTGACCAGCACGTGATACTAATCTACAGCACCTGTGCATGCTAGTCAGCAAGAAAATAGCCAAAAGGTTGGGAAAGAGAATAGTTGATTCAGAATGCAGGGTATTTTACAAACAGTTTTTTGTTCAATGCAAAGATATTGCTGTTTGTCTCATCTGTCAAGAAACAGTGTCTGCGCAGACACAATGAAACCCGATACAAAGACAAGTATGCCAGCTTGCAAGGTCAAATGAGAACAGATAAGGTGTCGAAGCTCGAAAGCGGACTATCAGCTCAGCAGAACAAGTTTGTACGTCAAACCCAGTTGAACCAGTCATCCAAGCTAGCTTTCAGGTAGCTAAGCTGATTGCAACCATTGGAAGGCCATTCAGTGAGGGTTCATCAAGAATTGTATAAATGCGGTCGCAGAGGTGTGCCTCGATAAGAAAGACGTCTTAAATGCGGTGAGTCTGTCCGCAAGTACAATTGCAAGACGAACTGAAGAAATGCGAGATAATGTATATGCCCAGCTGCAAGAGAAAGTGAAAGAATTTGAGAATTTTTTCCTCATTATCACTGGATGAGAGCAATGACGTGCAGGACACAGCACAGCTGCTCATTTTTCTTTGCGGTGTGAGCTCAACCTTTGAAGTGTCCGAGGAGCTGGCGGCCCTACAAAGTCTCCAAGGTACTACAACAGGGGAGGATATTTTTGATAAATTTGTGGAAAACGATGGAAGACTTGGATTTAAACTGGTCTAAGCCGGCCAGCATGACGGGGCTACTAGTATGGTTGGTGCGTCAAGGGGGCTAATAGGACATATGAACAGAGAAATGGAGGAAAGAGGTCTCACCACCCCGTTACAGGTCCACTGCCTGATTCACCAGCAAGGTTCTTAAGTGGGAATCTGTCACGAAGATGGTGGTGTCATGTATAAATTTCATCAGAGCAAACGGACTTAAAGACAGGCAGTTCCAAGCCTGTCTCTCAGAGCTAGAGTCTGCTCACGGAGATGTGCTTTACCACACTGAAGTCCGATGGTTAAGCCACCAAACTGAGAACGCTTGTTTGATAGGTAGTAAATGTTGGGAATACCATGTTTCTACACAGACATACACACTTTGTTTATAACATGGTTCAGTTCAAATGTTTTCTCATATTTTTTTTTTTTTTAGGTGACCCAACCATTTGAGCTTATTTGAATGGACCTTATTGGTAAATTGGCAACAACCACCAGTGGCAATCAGTATGTGTAAACATATCCACTGAAATTGAAACGTGCAGAGGAGGTGACAACAAATAATCAAGTTTGTCCACCAGTTCGAGGCTCCAAAAAGAATTTTGACGGACCACGGGACTCAGTTTGTGGATGCGGTAATGCTGCCTTTCTAATTAATAATTTTTTATGTAGAGCTTTATTTGTGGAATGATAGTAATATGTATTTAATGTGAAGTGTTGTCACTTGTAAATTTCTGAAATTACATTTTTATTAAATATGTAACAGATCAACAAGAGTGTATGTGCCAAATTAAGCATGAAAATAAGTCTCTGTGCGCCATACCACCCACAGACCAATGGTCTGGTTGGGAAGATGAATTGGACCATCCAAAAAACTAAGGGAAGCACAGCATGTCTAGGATGAAATTGTCGATTATAAGTTATATGCCAAAAAGTGCTACACATCAATTCAATGTTGCACCCCCCCCAAACCTTTGAAATATATTGACGCTGTAATGTTTGGGTTGTGAACCAAAAAACAAACCACCACCAAATTCTCCCCATTATTCTTAACGTTTGGTAGGGAAGCACGTTATCCTGCAGAGATTCCAGAGGATTATCAGGTTTGAGAAAATGCTAAATTATGGTTCAATACAGTATGAGGAAGGAATGTCAGACAACTTGACATTAAAAAGTGAATTAATCTGAATATTTTTTATTCAATGAAGTTTTATTTACACTGTCAATTCATCATCTTAAGATATCTCATTGCACTTGTCGTCCAGAGAGACCCTGAATTTCCCAATATTAACAAGCACTTAGTGACAAGGGAAAAGAAAATTTAACTTTTTACCGGCAGTTCCCAATGTTTATGCTTTCAATGGCCACTGGAAACTTTACCTAATCTATATCCCGCCACATTGAGTTTATACCAGTCCAACTTATCTTTTAAAAAAATCATTTTTACTTATTTTCTACAGGTGGACGAGGATGTCGTAAAATATGAAACGGTCTCCAAAGACATTGAACGCCTTGATGCAATCACGAGCATTGTCCAGGAAAATGTGTCACAGGTCCAGGATAAGACACGGCAGAGACTCACAACTTTGCAAGGGTGGAAGACTTGAGGCCAACTTCTTGGCCCCTTTACCATAACAGCACCGGAAGGCAAAAGGGCTGACCTACTTGCGGACAACAGTTGGAAAAAGGTGAATATTGACCACCTGAAACATTTTAAGATTCAGACGCCTCGGATTCCACACAGGATTGCCTCAGCACAAGTTGCCCATTGTGGGCAGTGGTGGTTAGATAGCAGCCTCAGCCCCTCACTGAGGAAAACCATGTGCCACATATATAGATGCAGAAGTAAAAATGTATGTTTTGCATTTTTTTTTTGTGAAGACATATACTGACTATCATGCACACCAATAATAGCTACAGTAACTTGACAATTACATCTGGGAATCACACAGTTTAGGCTTTGTCTTTGGTGATCAGGAAAGGAAATGTTATTATTTCAGCCATTTGTAACATTTATCTAAATCATTGGGCAACCCAGTAACAGATTAAGTGCATCTTCTTTCTCTTGCAGATGTGAATGATGTGTGGTGCTGGAAAACACTCAGATGTGCGGTGCTGGAAAACACTCAGATGTGCATGTGATTATGACCTTACAAACTGTTCTGCTGGGACATAGCAACGATTGCTCCCAGTCAAGGGCTTGAGAGTGAGGTAATGATGTTATAATTCTATGCCCTCAGCTTAAATTATTTCTTTATTGAAAAAAATCTTAATGTCTTGAGCTTTGACATTCTCATTATTATTGCAAGCAGGTAGTTGGAAAACTAGAGAAAAAGAAACACTGTATAATACTATAAACTAATATATGTCACGAATTTGCTTCTTCCAATACCACAATACTAAGTTTAATCAAGTGCATATTGACACAATATCCGATTCAAAAGCACCATAATATTTGTCATTCTACACATATTTCTTGGAAATATGCAGGTACACATGTAAAGTGTGTGTATAGAAGACAGAAATGTTCGATGGTAAGTTCAGCAGGGCAGAATACATTAAATACACTGTCGCGCAACATGCTGTGCTCAGTAATGGATAGTGTTGTTGTAAATATGTTGTAAATGTAAGAATGTGTTGTTGAAACACTGTATGACATAACTGGGTGACTTCACAGGTAATCAGTGCTTACCTTACTGTGCTGGTGCGACAGTACAACAAACAAAATGTGGATCAAGCTGTTGTCATTGACAATCATCTGGACGGGGAAAACCTCCAAACTCAAGGTTTGTAGAGAAACGTTTTTCCCCCCAGATTTACAACAGTGATGTCATTGTCATTTAAACAAAGGCAAAAGTACAGCAATTAGATATATTCATACATTGATTTGATTTTCAGATTGACCCACTGAGATATAAAATGATACTGGGAATTTTCAATGAACACCACCACTGGATGTTAACGGTAAAAGTGGGACATTATTATTAACTGTTGTAGTAACCACACAGATGAATTTTGACAGATTTAAAATAATGAATGATCTGTATAATGATATGTTTGTACTTGCCTGCTTTCATGTTTAAAGCTTTAAAATTCACAGCCTGAAACATGTTTCCCTCGAAAAATATAAAGGTTACATATCCTCATGAAAAGAAGACCCAGGTGAACATAAAACGGTGCCTGGAAACAACAAGGTGACAATGAATCAAATAAAATGAATATTAAAATAGTATAGAAGGTTATGAAATTGAATAAGCTTACTAAAATCTCTATATTGTTCATTAAGGGCATTCATGCGGAAGAGAGGATGTAAGGTCTCCAGATGGGCATGCAACAGTCGTCTACATGGGCTACAAAGAGACAGTACTACATCATGTGAGGTCTTTGCCTAGAAAGTGAGTGTAACTGGTTCTTAACGCCAGTTTTTTTAACCATGATTTAGTGACTAAATGCAGGAACATTAATACTGGTTACTTTACAAACTTCTGACTGGTACTATGCATATCCTGTGTTGAGTATTTAACTTTCTTTATGAGTGTTAATTAATAGACGTAATGATTTGTGTATTCAATATGCCATCTTAAAACATGCTTATCAAATCTATTTTCCATCAGTTTGCTGAGTGCATATTCCAGAAGGGCTGTCAACCGCATGAGAATGAACATAGCGTCCACTCTCCTCCGTGAGAGCGGTGCGTTTCCCTTTTGGCTTATACTTTGTGTGTCTTGAAAACTGTGTTGTACTTTAAACAACAACAACAAAATTAAGTTTATACCGTAATGACTGAGGATAAGTACTCATCAGTGCCACAAGAAGATTTTAAGCCTGATTTGCAAGAAGTCGCAGAGCTCGCCAAAAGTCTGGCTGTAACTCGTTGCTTTTCCCCCCATCAGTGAGTGATTGACTCTTGCCAGCAGTCGGCCAACTCGACATCCCCATCCGCCCAATGAGAGGAGGCAGCTGGTGGAGCAGGCAGCTACTTTTTCATTACAAAACATTTTTTGCTCACCTCCAACTGTCTCTGTAGCACAGACAATCCCTGCTGCCCACTTGTGGCAGTCCAGTCTTTCACAGGCTACCGGTCTCCACCTAGTCTCTCACATAGCAAATGATGGTTACTAAGCAACATACATCAAAGGCTAGGATTATTAGAACTATTTATTTAAATCTATCCCATCAGTGCGTAAAATGAACAGGCTATTGAAATTTGCTGAGTGTGTTTACGTGTATAACGCAAACCCTATTTGTCACGGAGTGATACAGATCTGAGCAAATGAATTCGCTCATTATATCACTACTATGAACCAATCAGATTGCTTAATTTGAGCTACCGGTTTTATAAAAGTACAGGTAGGTCAAGGCTCGACAGGAAGTGTGTTAGTAGCTGAAGTGTTTATTCATTACTTTTAGTAATTCCTTTATATTTTAAAATGTACTTGTTCACTAAAACCTTCTATGCATTTATCATGTCAGGCACTTGATTGTCAAACTTCCCACAGGCCAAACTTTAAAGAGGATGTGCTGAAAAGCTGAGCACCAGTGGAGGAAAACTAAACTCCAGACTGACTCTGAACTCAACAAAGAGTCTCCAAAAATAAGCTACTATGAGCACGACAAAAACTCACAGAATAATAATGCAGGCAGACTGTTTTTCACGGTGATAAACTCACGAGGAAATATAATGACTGCTTCATTTTTCACCATCAGTTTATGCGCGCTCCCGACACAAAACATGCTGCACCGCGCACGCGCTACGCGGGACACCCGTAAAACAAAGAAAAGAGAAACGCTCGTGAGTTTTTCTTTCAGCTTCCTCTCTTCAAGATGAAAACAGGAATCACGGAGACACTTTGGAAATCAAACCACGTCAACACAAACCCTGGAGCGGGTTTTCAGGCTCTGATCTCTAACAACAGAATGAACGGATGATACACGGACCCTCGAGACTCTTCCTCGTGTCTTTAGTCTCGTGATGAAGTCATGAACACTGACCTGAACATCGGTGCTATCAGAGCACGAGGCTGCTGTTTGGCTCCTGTGGTCCGGGTTCTGGTTCTCCATCGTCCTGCAGGTCTGTGACTGGTGGACCGTGTTGTCCTGGACTGAGTCTGGATTCTGGTCTCGGAGCTCTTCAGGCTGATAATGCGTTCCTAGTTCCCAGTCGGAACTTTCAACTTGAACGCCTCCTGAAGTCGGATTTCCGGTCTTTTCCTCCCTCCCCTACTTCGCCTCCGTTTGCGCGTTCACGCTGAGGGTTTGTCCCAATCCCAATGTCCACCTTCAGACTTTGCGCGTTCCCGGGAAGTCCGTGAGGGCTCAGGGCTGTCCCACTGTCAAATCGTCAAGTGCGCGAGGGCTCTCTCGCGGACATTTTGAGCCCTTTATGGACCCTTTTCGAAAGTCCGCATTTCTGCAGACTTTGGCTGAGGGAACTGCCCACAGTTCATAGCGGTATGACGTGAAACACCGGGGTTACCGGGGGAATCCCGGTAGCGACAGAAAAATCACGGCAAATCCGCGTTATAAGAGAAGAAAACAGTAAACAAACAAGCATCAACACCAACAATGATGCTAATATTGTTGAAAGCTTTCTTAACTTCAATCACCTTATTACACACTTAGCCTAGTTTTCACTTAATGATGCTGTTTGACCAACAATAGTGATTATTGATAAATATATATTGACATTTAGGCTACCTCTCCTCCACTCTGTAGGACAAGAGCCTGCAGGACTTAATAAGGCAAAAACATAAAATAAAAAGTGTGCAACGTGTTTCAGCGTCGTCAAGGTGCTAAAGTGGCAAAGTGCCGTCCCGTTGACAGCATTTTGAGCCCTTGCAGCCTCTTGCACTCAATCAATTTCCAAGTGATGTCAGTAAAGTCTGTGAGGGGTCAGGGCTTAGGGGGGATATGGGGATTGGGCCATTTAGTGCCATCAGAAACCAATGAGGGCGGAGTGATAAAACCCTCCAATGCTGAGCGAACATCGGTGATTTCTATTGTGAAATGTTGTATTGGTGTATTTGTGAATGTAATTTTTTCCATATAAAATAAAGAGGTTCAAAACATGTAGCCTAGTCTTTTACAATCAATATCAATCTCATCATAAAAGAATATAATGTATTTCTTAAATAATAGCTGCATCAGTCAAAAGCTTGTAGAATATCCTAATCTAAATTATCAAAATAATTTGGTACATATGGCCTAAAATAAAATAAATGGCAAATGGTTTCAGTTTTGTTATTGCAAATTACTTTTCCTCAGCATCAATCCTAACTCTTAATGCAACTGTTTGATATCACCACCCACAGACAACAGCACTGGTATATTTTTATATAAAAAGCGATGGTAGGTAAACTTACCTCTGTACCTTTCTCGGTCTCAATTCTGGGCCCTGTTTCAGAAAGCAGGCTTAACAAAATCTGAGCTTATCCCTGAGCTCTGGGTTGATTGAGCCTGAGGTGGGAAACTCACTGAGTTTTCAGTTCCACAACAGCTGATCAGAAAATTTCAGTCAACTCTGAGTATGTTGAGCCTGATTGAAGCTCCAATACTACGATTCACTATGGCAACGGGTAAATAAAGGCAGAGCCTCCATTTTAATCAGGTGGAGCTATAAAAATGAATGCTGCCAACGCGGACCATGACTGGCTCTAAAACGCAGGATTGGAGGAAGGATCAATGCGTTAACATTATTAAGCTACAACACAGAGTTGCTCATTCATCATTTACCAGACAGGAATTTCCTTAATGAATGATAAAGTGCTGCAGCCCATGACGTGATTTTAAATACGAAGGCTATATTTATTAAGCTGTAACCCGACGGGACAAAATGCCTTGTGGCATTTTTTTACAATAAACTGATCAATGAGCAGTAATCTTTCATATTGTAGTCTGATTGGAACATTCGTATCTTATGCTGCGTTCCAGGCAAATGGCAAATTTTCGACCTCCAACTACAAAAACTACCCCGGAACGCCATCTGAAGTCAGATTTACTACTACTTCAGATTTACTACTAGAAAAAATATGTACCCCGTTTAGGTTTATGTAGAAATATGTTAGGCCTATTAGGTAGCTGGCTACAGTAAATAATCTCAAAGTAATCTTTGCATAAAAGTTATTGTTAAAAATGCCAAAACAAGTGTAACCTACGACACTTGAGGGTTACCAACTGATGTAGCTAGAGGAGTACACAGTTAATTAGTAACTTATAAGCTATTTATGGCAGTTGTTTGCATTTAAACTGCCATCCTTTTAATTAACACCTAAAGCACTGCTGAGGGTGCAACTGTGTGCACACTTTGTCACGGACAGCCATGGTTTTCATTCACTTTCGGCGTCATGCACCACCGTGCACCAAGTCGGAAGTTTCAACTGGGAAATATCCCAGTTCTGACCGGTCTCAAACGCATCATATGCTATCAACTGGAGATAATGTGACTATTTCTGAGTGAGGATGACTGATGTGGTGCAGCTGGAACAAACAGGCCTAAATAAGGTTTGAAAAATTAATTTTCAACATTATCTGCTGATAGTCTTAATGTGTTTTGACAGGATTAATGAAATATGAAAGGAGCAAGATTTTATTAATGTAAAATAGACGTCAGTTTGAATCTAGACACATTTTCACTGCAAAAAAATTAAAAATTAAAAATTAGGGGCATGTTTTTACTGTTTGTAGGAACTTTGCATGTTTATTTATTTTTAATTACACTTAATTCTCCACCTTATTTAAGTGTCACTCACTGTTACGACCCTGGCTCAAGGGCGGCAACATAGAGGAGTCACAAACATCTATAATGATCAAAATAAGGTTTATTGCAAACAAAGTTCAACAGACAAAGAACAACGGTGGCTGCTGCTGAAGATGCTGCTGCTCCTGGCTGCAGTGTGTGAAAGAGCGAGTGGGTGGAGCTAGACAAGGGCCTTTAAAGGCTGGACAGCAGGCACAGGAAATTGGGGAAATGATGGGGAGGAGTTTTCAGGATAGCTGCAAAACAGGGAACAGAGTAACTTTGGACATAACACTCACTTATTGAATCCGCCTCCTTCAGTTCTCTTCACACTCACAGACCTTACGTACCTCTGCTGCAAACACGTCAGTGTGCCCCGCTTCTTACGGTCTCTTCCTGGTCACTTTAGTAGCAGGCTAAGTTGTAAAAGCACTGTGTCTCCCTCCATGTTGTTAGAGAGTTTGAGTAGACAGCTGCGTGCAAACGCAGAGAGAGTGGCAGGGCTGTACGGTGAGGGAGAGAGACGAGCAAACGCTGGCAGGACTTTACGAAACATTAATTAACTCTACATCAAACTCTATAGTTTTGCCTCGTCCAGGCAATTGGTCTTTGTGCAGCCGGGGAAAAGCAACTGAGGCCGCCGGACTCGGCGCCTGCAGCCTGCTTGCTCCCTTGCGAGGTTTTAATGTCATGTGACATGAGCTGCGTTTCTACCAAAGGAACTTTACCCTGGAACTAGGAACCTTTGGAGGAACTCACTGCGTTTCCACTAGAGGGACCAGGGTCTAAATGTAGTTTGGGGGTCTTCATTTTACCTCCTAAAAGTCCCTGCATGGGGGGGTAGTACTTTCCGAATGTAGCGGTACTTTGGGGGGCGGGGCTTGCCTTGCAGGGAATTTCTGAATGGGCGAGTAGAGGCTACTGGCTTTAACTGGAGAATGTCAGGTGTTTGTCTGCTACTGCTCCTCTCTTTTCCACCATTGTTTGCAAACCAGTAAATCACAATCAGCAGTCAAATAGCACACACGTCTCGCCGCTGTCCGCCTGAGATCAATCGTCGGCATTGAATGTAAATAACAGCCTGCCTGGGTGTGTTTACAGCGAACAGCTGATGGCGTTACTACTGGGTCCAGAGTTGTGGCTTTTAAGTTTTCATGAGTCAGGAAGTTTCAACACAGAGCTGAAGTCGGTCTCCTCCTCTTAAAAACCAGCTGAACAGCTGATTACAGCAGGTAATTAAAGCTCATTAAAAATCCCGTTCCTCCGACGCTCAGGCGACACAGACATGAGTCCTGCAGCTGATCTGCAGCTCTTGTCGCTGGAGATGTTTTAATAACCTTCCAAACTGTCGCAATTTTATTTTTGCCGTCGTTTTATCTGAGCTGGAGTTATTTTAATTACTTGATGGTTTTATCCAGTTTGTTATCCACACGTCTCGCAAATGTCCGCCTGAGATCGTATGTTGGCATAAAATTTATAGTTGGGAAACAGCAACCAGCGTTCAGCAGTGTGTTTACAGCGAGCAGCTGATGGAGTTACGCTAAATACTGGGTCAGAAGTTGTTGTTTTGAGTTATCAGGAAGTTTCTACAAGGAGACAAAGTCGGTCTCCTCCTCTCCAAAACAAGCGCAACAGCTGATTACAGCAGGTAAAGCTGTCGCGACTTTATTTTTGTGCTGCTTTCTCTGTGCTGGAGTTATTTTAGGAATATTATGGCTTTATCTAGTTTGTTATAAAATGTGTAACAAACTTTATCGTGTGTCTCTTCATTATACTCCCACACAACAAAGCTGCTGCTTAAACGGTCAAGCACAGCCTGTAGTTTTTCATTATATTCCAGTCAAATCTGATGTTCATTTATATATTAAGTGTTGCTCATAGTGGTTACAAATAACGATGCCTGTGCATCGCTGTGTGCGGCGTGCAGGCCTACAGCCCACGTCAGCTGGTTAATTTGCCTAATCTTGGCAGGTCTTTAGACCACGGTGGGAAAGCACACAACTGTGGGCTGAAGGATCCTTTAAGTTCCTTGAAAAGAGATCTGGGGACTTAAAAGTCTCGGGGACTTTTGGTCAAAAAGCGCCTATGGTGACGTTTTGCAGTGCCGGCGAAAGTTGGTCACAATTTCTAACCAGCATGCCCGATTTTAAGTCCAGCATGCATCACGTTACGTCAGAGCTGCGCAGCTCCGCGTGAAATCAAACTCACCTAATAGTCCATGTATCATGTGTGTTTTTGTGAAGGAAGCGCCGTCTCATGGTGAAACCCTGCAGCTGAATGAAAGGGGCTTGAATGGGCGTTTCCTGTGAATCTCCCAGTGGCTGATAACAGCTGCAGCTGTTTTCCATTGTGATATTTGTGGCTCATTCTAATGCATGCAGTCAAACAAACTTTATTTATACAGACACAGAAAAGTCAGCAGCTGTAGTAAATCATAACCACTGACAGGAAGTTAAGAGTCAAGTTGAACCACATCAGAACTTTCTACACCGCCAGGATTTAGAAGCTGCTGGAAGCTGCTGTGTTTACATTTTGAACCCGTCAGAATTTGTCATATTTTCTGAAGAACCACAAGAAATATTGTTGAAAGGAAACAGTTCATTAAACGTCCAGTTTCAAATAATGAGTCAAAGCTTCTCTTTGTGTCGACTAATTTAATGAGAACATTGAAAAGGACTCGAGTCTCCTGCTCAGATTATTACAGCACCAACCCCAAAGTTAAACAGAAAGCAACACATTTACTGACAGAACAGAAAGCAAACTGCTGTTAAAATGGAGTCAGATAATGAAGACACGATAATATTTGATTCAATCAGACTTTCACAAGAACAACGTTTGTTCACACTGAACACAAATGCCGTCTGTAGTGTTTTTTGTAGTCCCCGTTTATTCAGCGCCTCTTCCTCCTCCTCACTGGATCAAACCACAGCAGTTTAAACCCAGAGGCATCCAGTGGACCTGGTTCAGGCCTCAGAAACATTTGGACTGTGATTTTTGCCCTGTGTCGGAGCAGGTACATTTACATACATTTATTCATTTAGCTGACGCTTTTATCCAGAGCGACTTACAATTGCTATACATGTCAGAGGTCGCACGCCTCTGGAGCAACTAGGTGTTGCGTCTTGCTCAGGGACACATTGGTGGATGTCTCACAATGGGAATCCCACACCAAAGTCAAGCATCTTATCTATGCGCCATCACCACCCCCTTAGGTATATACAGACATCATGTGATCTAGTTAGTTTGAAGCATAAAGAGTTCTTCAGACTTTGATCTCAGAACTCAGCAGAAACGTCTTTAGACTCTTTCCTCCAGCTTGTTTTTTCTTGTCTATCTAACGATGATTTTAGTACTCAAAAGCTTCTACAAATTATTTTATAGATTCATCAAAGCATCATTTAAGAAGTACTGTTGCTTGGCGGTGCCCCTGCCATCATAAGCACGTCGTGGTCACACAATGTACGTGCAAAGTGCGACAGTAATAAATGTCTGTGCAAGAGTGTGCTATATAGCTAAATGGATTAAACAAAGCATCGATGCAAAGAATTTGAATTTTCAATGAATAATAATTTAATAATAATAATCTTTATTTGTAGAGCACTTTTCAAAAACAAGTTACAAAGTGCTTTAACAAGTGTAAAGACAATAATACCCAAGAGACAATAATACAAAAACAATACAAGATAAAATCATGAAAACATTGAAAAGACTAAAATACATGTTTAAGATAAATATAAAATAAGTAAAATACAATAAAATAAAAGGGTTAAAATAAAGTCAAATAAGATCGGGAAAAGCTCTCCTATAAAAGTGTGTTTTAAGAAGGGACTTAAAAGAGTTCACTGACTCAGCCGACCTGATTTCCTCGGGCAGGCTGTTCCAGAGCCTCGGGGCCCTGACAGCAAACGCTCTGTCCCCTTTAGTTTTCAGTCGAGACTCTGGAACAGACAACAGACCTCTGCCCGAGGATCTCAAGGTACGTGCTGGTGCGTATGGGACTAAAAGGTCAGAAATATAACAAGGCGAGAGGCCATGAAGAGCTTTAAAAGTGATCAATAGAATTTTAAAGTCAATTCTAAAACATACTGGGAGCCAGTGTAATGAAGCTAAAATAGGAGTAATGTGGTCATATTTCTTTGTTCTGGTTAAAAGCCTGGCAGCTGAGTTCTGGACAGTCTGGAGTCGATCAATAGATTTTTGGGTTAAACAGGTGAAAAGGCTGTTGCAATAATCCAGGCGTGATGAGATGAAGGCGTGTAAAATGGTCTCGGTGTCCTTAAAAGTTAACATAGATCGAATTTTAGCTATATTTCTAAGTTGATAAAAACATGATTGAACAAGCTTTGTGGTGTGCTGCTCGAAATTTAAATTACTATCAAACCAAACACCAAGGTTCTTTGCTACAGGCTTAATGTGATTTACTAGCGAACCAGCAGATGGCAGTATTTGATTTGCCCAACAGAATCTATTACTTTCAGTAAAAATTTTGTAAGTATTACATCAAGTGGGCCGGAGGACACTCTCATTTGTGATACTGTTTTTAAAAGCTCAGACAAGTCGATGGGATAAAACTGATTAAAACTCTCTTGTTGCTGGTGAGGAACCTCTGAGTAAGAGGCCACGGGGGTAATAGAGGCTCTGATTGACACCACCTTATTGGTAAAATAAGATAAAAACAATTCACAGTCATCATTACTTCCAGCTGAGGCACAAGGAGGGGTTGGGTTTACCAGCTGATCCACAGTCTTAAACAGAAACCTGGGGTTGTGTTTATGTGTAGTAATGAGTTCAGAAAAATAGTGTGTTCTCGCATCCTTAACCATGTTATTGTAGTCATCAACATGAATATTAAAATCGCCACAAAGAACAATTCTGTCATAATTTAAAACCAGAGTAGATAAAAATTCAGGAAGTTCTGATAAAAATCCTCCAGGCGTTTTGGGGGGCGATAAATTATAACATATGATAGGTTGCAGCCCTCCGAGTTTAAGAGTGAGAACTTAAAAGGAGTTAAATTCATCACAGCGTACTTGATGACATTTTAAATTTTTCCTATACACGCTCACTAGCCCACCACCACGACCACTGACCCTCGGTTGACTAAAGCAATCATATTGAGGTGGACACAGTTCAGCTAGCTGGCTATAGTCATTCATTTGCAACCAGGATTCAGTTAAAAACATAAAATCTAGATTTGCAGACAAGATAAAATCATTTAAGATAAAAGTCTTACTTGACAGTGATCTCACATTGAAGAGAGCCATTTTAAATGAGTTTGTTCTGGGTGCTGGAGTTGGTGCAGTTGTCCTAATCCTTAAGAGATTACTATATTTCTGTGTGGGATGTGCACATTTCGGTTTACTGGTCTATGCGTGATGATGACAGGAATAGAAGTCTGTGGAACAGCGCTGGGAGCAGACGGCTTTACATGCCAGCAGGTGGAGACAGTTGTTAGTGGCAGTGAGGCAGAGATCTGTTCAGTGAGCGGTGGTGTGTCCAGGTGTGCTGCATGAATGATGAGTCATTCACGTAAGTCATGTGTGGACCGCACCACATGCTGTATGTGCGCAGCTAACATTTCTGAGCCCCGTTTGTTTGGGTGAAGTCCGTCTGTCTTAAAAAGAGAAATTCTTTGCCAGAAAATATTAAAATTATCCACATAAAACACACGGTGAGCCCTGCAGGCGGACTGGAGCCAGTCGTGGAGGCCAAGGAGTCTACTGAAGCGGCCAGCACCGCGACCGACTGTGGGAATGGGACCAGAGATAAAAACGGACTTTCCACACTGCTTTAAAAAGTTAAAAAGACGGTTAAAATCTGATTTTGTCAGCTCAGACTGCCGAAGAGCTGTGTCATTTGTTCCCACATGGACTATCACTCTTGTGATGGAGACGGGAGCGACGGCATCAGGTCCTGGAGTTTTTATTTTTAAATGTCAGCCGTGGTGGCACCGGGGAAGCAGCGAGTGGTAGCGTTAAAGAAACGGATGTTTCTGGTTATGGAGTCACCAATTATTAGTGTGGTTGGGGAGAAAAGAGGACGGGAGATGCCGGTTGTGTGGTTCCAGAGCAGGACTGAGCAGAATCGGTGTCGGATGACTAAAATCCTTAACCCAAGTAAAACTTAATTAAATAAAAAGGATATAAAAAATGTAACGAAAAAGAGTGGATTAAAACTGGATAAGAGTTCGGTTTAAGACGGAGCTTCCGACAGGTGGCTACAGACGCCAACGCATGTGCAGAGAGCATGAATCACCGGCATTTCTCTCAGTGCTCCGGTGACAAGTCCAACTACATTTTGAACTATTAGCGGCAGGTGGGGAGGGGTACGGTACGCTACGGTAGGTTGTTGTCTTAAATGTTACTTGCACACTGCTCATAAAATCATTTTTCTCATTGCACGTAGGCTTATTTGTTTTTAAGGGCACATGCGAGAGCCCGGTGTGGGTGGAGATAATGAGCAGATTGCAGTGAACAAACAGAGGAGAGAGCGTCACACCCACTTTTTCTGTTTTATTAAATAGCAACATTTTTGCAGTTATGTAATTGCACATGACGTCATAGCGATTAGATTAATCGTGCAGCTCTAGTGTATACCTGTTTATATTACACTGTAGTCCACCTTAATTGAATGTTGAAAAGGTGTATACGACATTTATGACAGGTTCAAAGTGTTGTTCCGTTAGTCGGATTGACAGTCACATTTTTCAATAAAAAAAAAAAAAATAAAATATATATATATAAATAAAAGTTGAACAAACAGATGTTGAGAAAGTTTTCGTTGGGGATAGATCAATGTTAACTTTTAAGGACACAGAGACCATTTTACACGCCTTCATCTCATCACGCCTGGATTATTGCAACAGCCTTTTCACCTGTTTAACCCAAAAATCTATTGATCGACTCCAGACTGTCCAGAACTCAGCTGCCAGGCTTTTAACCAGAACAAAGAAATATGACCACATTACTCCTATTTTAGCTTCATTACACTGGCTCCCAGTATGTTTTAGACTTGACTTAAAATTCTATTGATCACTTTTAAAGCTCTTCATGGCCTCTCGCCTTGTTATATTTCTGACTTTTAGTCCCATACGCACCAGCACGTACCTTGAGATCCTCGGGCAGAGGTCTGTTGTCTGTTCCAAGTCTCGACTGAAAACTAAAGGGGACAGAGCGTTTGCTGTCAGGGCCCGAGGCTCTGGAACAGCCTGCCCGAGGAAATCAGGTCGGCTGAGTCAGTGAACTCTTTTAAGTCCCTTCTTAAAACATACTTTTATAGGAGAGCTTTCCCGATCTTATTTCACTTTATTTTATCCCTTTTATTTTATTGTATTTTACTAATTTTATATTAAATTTTCATGCTCTTATCTTTTTTTTGTATTATTCTTTACACTTGTTAAAGCACTTTGTAACTTGTTTTTGAAAAGTGCTCTACAAATAAGGATTATTATTATTATTATTATAATTTGAAGTTTGGAAAAAGGTAATAAATGCCAATATACTGTAGGATATCTGAATATGAAAAGGTTAAAATCATAATATATTGTGACTTAATATCGTGATAATATCGTATTGTGTGGTTTCTGGTGATTCACACCAGATTCACAGGAAGCAGCTTGCTTGACTCGGAACTCAGGAAGCAGCTTGACTGTCAGTGGATTTTAAAGTGACTGCGATGAGCAAAAGCTTTCCCACATTGGTCACACCAGTACAGTTTCTGTCCAGTGTGAACACGTCTGTGTCCTATTAGGTGACCTAATGTAGTGAAAGCTTTCCCACACTGGTCACACCAGTACGGTTTCTCTCCAGTGTGAACACGTTGGTGTGTTTTTAGGTCACCTGATGTAGGGAAAGCTTTACCACACTGGTCACAGCTGTACGGTTTCTCTCCAGTGTGAACACGTTGGTGGACTTTAAGAATATCTGATCTAGTGAAAGCTTTCCCACATTGGTCACAGCTGTACGGTTTCTCTCCAGTGTGAACCCGTTGGTGTGTTTTTAGGTCGCCTGATCTAGTGAAAGCTTTCCCACACTGGTCACAGCTGTACGGTTTCTCTCCAGTGTGAACACGTGTGTGTATTTTTAGTTCATGTGATCTAGTGAAAGCTTTCCCACACAGGTCACAGCTGTACCGTTTCTTTCCAGTGTGAAGCCTCTGATGAATCTTTAAATATGAAGATGATGTTGTGAAGGATTTGTCACAGTGCTGATATTTTAGTCCCACTCCTCCTCTCCGTTTCTATATCAAAAGACAGACACACACAGAGAAAGACAGTGAGATGTCACGGTGGAGCGAGCTATCAAGAACCATAAATGTGGCTGACACCAATGAGACTACTGTAAACCTGTTTCCATGACAACAATGTGCAACTGTTTCCATGACGTGTGATTTATCGTTTATCATTTTTTTAAATGCATATGGTAATGCTTATTATAACACATCTTGTCAAATTCTGAGTAATAGTGTGAATTAACGCTGTTATTACAGCTACTTTATGAAGAACAAGATCTGTTTTGTAAATCACAAGACTATTACCCGGAAGATTTGAGAGGAGCGCTAGAGAGAAGATAAGAGTGGCGGGCGAGAACAGTGAACTAAAATACTCCTGTCCGTTGTTGTACAGCTGGTCTACCACGCAAACACGGTAATTACCAAATTAACCTCCTATCATTCCTGTAAATTTTGAGTAAAATGCCTATCCAAGGCATATCCATAGTAAATACAGTTCTTGAACCATTTGAAGTAAATGCATGCTTCTGGAAGTGTCTAATCCAAAAGTCACAATCACCGTAAATACTACTGGAATTGATTAACATAAGTTTGAAAACATCAAATGTTTTTTTTTCCGTTTCTGCTTAAAAACGGTTGCTAACAAATGCATGCAGACAGCTATAACAGGGACTTAGCGGGAAAACACCAACTTAGTCCAATTTAAAATTTTATATGAAAAATAGAAAATTGTGAGGTTTTACTAAGGTTCTGTCTCAGACCAGTATCTAATGAAAATTCAAAGAGGTCAAGTTAAAAGAAAAAAAATTCCCAAACGGTCTGAAACATCAAAAAATTTATACAAGATGAACAAACAGATGTTGAGAAAGTTCTTTGGGGATATAATCTGCAGTTGGAAAAAAGGTAATAAATTCCAATATATTGTTGAATATATTGTAATATGAAAAGGTTGAAATTAGTAATAATTAGTTGTAATCGATTACGTCAACGAATCGCTGCATCTGGGGCGAGTTCAGCGTCGACAAACGTAGCAACTGTTTTTTCAACGGAAACGGTGGTTCCCTGAACACCCTGCTGTGTACGCAAGCGAATAAACACAAATAATCGTTAGATTTATCAACTTCAAAACTAATCGATATGTACAGCCCTAGTTAAAATTATAATATATTGTGACTTAAGTATCTAATTTTTTGCCTATGTAGGAGAGCCCTGTTTATCCATATTATAGCAGTGACATTAGTAGTAGTTTGTTTCGCTGGCCTCCACAGTACGTAAACTAATTTAATTTTCATTAGTAGTACTCCATAATTTATAACAACAATCTGATATTTCTAAAATTAAATTGTTTTCTGTGGTTTTATACATTAGACTCATATTTAACATTTTCTTGTACTTTTGTTACTAGGTAAGCTAAGTACTATGTATAGCAATAAAAAACAAAAGTTTTAACTGCATTATGTCATGGTATCCATTTCTTAAAATAAGGAGAAAAAAGAATATTGGCCAATATATCGGCATATCAGATTTTGAAATCCTTGAATACTGAAATCGGCATCGGACTTAAAAATATTCCCATATTGGTCGGCCTCTAGTGACAAGTTTTGAGTTGCCTGTAACTAGGGATGGGGATCGATACACTGTTCTAAAAAGGACCCAGATCCAAACTTTCTCAAAACACAAAAATCAATAAAAGGTCTGAGTTTATCGATACTGCTATTGAGACTAGGGGGTCCTATAATGTTATGTCTCAAGCGTCAAATCTCATTCAAATTGAACAGCAGCAGATATGAAGAGGAGGAAGGACTGATGCACACAGTTTCTTTCTAAACGTCACTTGATATTGTGGTGTCATTTTGACTTTATATAGTGATGTTATGTGGTAAAAAAAACAACATTTAGTTGTAGTAAAAATATTCAATTATAATCCTATAAATAATTTAAAAACAACCAGGCAGCTAGTGTGACACACTTAATCTTTGTGTATTTATTTTAAGTCCTGTCATCTCAATATCTAACAATGTTATTGCACATTGATTATTTTCCTCAAATGGTGGTCTACAGGTCAGTGGTGGTCGACAGGTCAGTGGTGGTCTACCCCGTTGACCACCAACCCGTATTTCAACATTGGTTTTCAGTCTGAACATCTAAGACCACTTTTCTAGGGCTGAAGGTAACGACGATTTTTCGGTTCCGGGATCAGCTGTGACTTTACTACCCAAACTCATAGCCCAACCAGACGGAGAACAATAACAACAAACGCAAGTGTGGTACATTTGCAGTAGGGATGGGGATCGTTCATTTTTATTGATACCGTTATTGAGACTGCTTAACTATCCGATTCTTTATCGACACCACTATCGATACTTCAGTATCGTTTATTTAGTGATGGTTATTTGATAAGACCAGACCCAACAGACATGAGGCTGGCCTGCACAGTATGAGGAAAATATTCAATGTGCGATAAACCTTATATATTGAGATGATATATCACTTGCTCAATGATCCTAAGAAAGGTGAGAAATCAGCCCAGAACCCACACGGGAGGAGCTGGTCAATGACCTGAAAAGAGCTGGGACCACCGTTTCCAAGGTTACTGTTGGTAATACACTAAGACGTCATGGTTTGAAATCATGCATGACACGGAAGGTTCCCCTGCTTAAACCAGCACATGTCAAGGCCCGTCTTCAGTTTGCCAATGACCATTTGGATGATCCAGAGGAGTCATGGGAGAAAGTCATGTGGTCAGATGAGACCAAAATAGAAGTTTTTGGTCATAATTCCACTAACTGTGTTTGGAGGAAGAAGAATGATGAGCACCATCCCAAGAACACCATCCCTACTGTGAAGCATGGGGGGTGGTAGCATCATGCTTTGGGGGTGTTTTTCTGCACATGGGACAGGGCGACTGCACTGTATTAAGGAGAGGATGACCGGGGCCATGTATTGTGAGATTAAAGCAATCAAGAATGGTGGTGATCAGCCACCTGCAGGATCACGCTTGTCAAAGCTGAGCCAGAACCTAGATGACCCGGCCAGCTTGGGTCCTTTTGCCATTTCCACTGAGCAGGAGAAGCACAGGAGGAACCAACCAAGAGGTGGAGACAGGCAGCAGTTACGGACGAAGTTTCGTTTGGAGGCAAGAAAAGAATGTAATAATTTCAATGTTTTTTTCCATCAGGTAATGGTCCTCTACTTAGATGGCCCGAGAAGTCAGCTGGAGGCGAGGTTCCCTGACCGGCCATATTTTATTTTTTTACCGGCCAATTTGCCTTTTGTGTCACATACTTTTATTTGACGTAATAAAGGTACTATGTCAATTACAAACAAAGAGGACAAAGTTTGAAGCAAAAATTATATTATTGCCATTAAATGTACTTTTACTAAAATAACAGTAAATTGTTTTATAAACTTATAAGATGTTTATTAATCATTCACCTTAACCCTCATCACTGCTCACTCTTAATCACGCTTCATCATTCAAATTAAACCTCATCAGACTGCTCACTTTCTCCAATCCCCCTCTACTACGGCACTATGCTGTAACGCTGACAACAAGGGGCGTTCAAAACGGAAGCAGAACAATTAAAATTATAATCTTAAAAACAAAAAACTGTGTTTACTGCTACTGCGCATGAGCAAGATATGGGATTGACTTTAAACCACAGCTCTCTCTGGTACAACCCACTAAGAATGAGCTTGTGACAGCAGCACACTGACTACACACCATGTTATTACTTCTATAATTGTATTTTAATAAACCACCAGTAAGCAGTGTAATTAAATAAATCTTTCAATCCTAGAGACGTTCCTGTCTCAGCTCATTAAGAAAATAATAACGCAGGCAGACTGTTTGTCACTGTGATAAACTCACCAACACACGAGGAAATATAATGACTCTGCTTCACTTTTCACCATCATGGTTTCGTCTGCGCGCTCCCGACACAACACGGGCTGCACTGCGCAAGCGCCGCGCGGGAAACTCCCAGAACAAAGAAAAGAGAAACGCTCGTGAGTTTTTCTTTCAGCTTCCTCTCTTCAAGATGAAAACAGGAATCATGGAGACACTTTGGAAATCAAACCACGTCAACACAAACCCTGGAGCGGGTTTTCAGGCTCTGATCTCTAACAACAGAATGAACGGATGATACACGGACCCTCGAGACTCTTCCTCGTGTCTTTAGTCTCGTGATGAAGTCATGAACACTGACCTGAACATCGGTGCTATCAGAGCACGAGGCTGCTGTTTGGCTCCTGTGGTCCGGGTTCTGGTTCTCCATCGTCCTGCAGGTCTGTGACTGGTGGACCGTGTTGTCCTGGACTGAGTCTGGATTCTGGTCTCGGAGCACTTCCGGATCCCGCGGAGCCTCCGCGTTCTCGCTGTGACGGCGCCCCGCCCCTTAGTTACTGTCGCTAAGGCCGTTTAGAAACATGGCTCCTTGATTTCAGGCAGAAGATGAAGTTTAGTTAGTTGGTTTCCTGAAACCAGCTGATCATATTTGATGTGTATGAGGGAGTGTGCTTCACACAGAGCAGAGTTTTAATGAAGCGCTTGTTATTATCACATCAGAGGCTCATGAAAATATCCTGCTGAAGCTTTTTGTACATCATGTTTTTACACAGAGACAGAAATAACTTCATGTGTCACATTTAATGTTGAATTTACAAGAAGGCAGAATCATTAAGAGTTTTGTCCGCTCTCCTGACAAAGCATGTGTCGGGCCCTCTGGGTCTTTAGAGACCTTTATTCCTGCTTTCTTGAGAATTTTATGCAAGTAGAGGCATTAAAATACATTTTCAAAGTAGAAACATCTCTCTGACACTCCTAAAGTAAAGTAATCACTTCTGCTGATCCCTTGAGTAGATAAATTAAATGAGCCATATCATCATCAATCTGACCATAAACTGCTGCTTTGACTCTGTTCTGCTGTCTGTCT